CAACTGGACGTGGACATGACCGAGCGCTTGAGGCCGGCGAGGTAGCGGTGCTGGCCGACCTGGGCTTCATGGCCACCGATGATTTCGATGGGGTAGTTCTTGGAGGCAACTTCGTCTTGGGCAAAGACAGCGGCGGCGACAGTGGCGAGGACAAGTGCGAACTTCATGGTGGCAATTGGGAAATGAGATGAAAGGGGCAAGAGCTTTGTGGTTGCTCGAGATGAATTCCCGGCGCATCATCCATCGTGGATATTGGCTTGGTCAACTGGAAATATTTCCTGGACGTGAACACCACCAGGAGTGACGTACATGGATTTATCGGTGAGTCGGGGGTGAACTTCAGCACCGTAGAATTCTCATTGGACGGTAATGTTGCAACGCTGTCGCCTGTGAATCACAGCAACAGCTTCTCCTCGGCTGTAAGAATACCACTCGATAACATTTACGATAGCCCTTGAGACTCTGTGAATCGTACACATTGATGTACTTGAAACCATTCGACTTTATGTGAACCGTACGAATATCTTTGGGCAAATCGTTTGTCACATGGTCCACCAAATGTCTCTGGTATCAGATTGGAGTGAGTGGATATTCGGCACATGCGAGATGACCAAGCGTTTGATCTGCTCGTGGTGGATGGAGAGCGGGCTGACGTGGATGCCGCACCAACAGGAGACGAGTTGCAGCCAGGGGACCCTGCCCCCGTGGTAGTCCAAGACACGACGCATTGAAGTGAATCGTGCAATCAAACGAATAGGGCTGATAGTCGTGTCGGTAAGTTGTGCTCGGAAATGCACTGGAACATACATCTTTAGATCAACAGGGGATCGAAAGGAAGCAATCCTGGTCAGACACCCACAGCTGTTTGCACCACGCATGGATGACCTTGCCGAGGGCAAGAGACCAATAAAAGAGTTCACGTCACTGTAATCCAGTTGTATGTTGTGGCCACAACTGACTGTAAACTGCGCCACGCAGCCATGGACGTTGAGCTCCGAGGTCTGCACGACGCTCTAACGATCCACACATCGCCCCCGCTTCGCCTAGACAGGAATAAAAACTCGTGGAAGTCCAACTCAATTGTTTGATTAGCCGAAGCACCCGTGAGCCATGGAACACATTTCACGACCCATCTTGCCATTTAGTCGGTAGCCATGTCCGATTACCTGACTATGCGACATCCGGAAGCAGACCACAGCCTGATTACAGCAATTGGAATGGACGGACTCGCGGCGCTCAGGAGATAAAACCGAAATTTGAACCAGGAACTTCCAGAGCAATTTGAATTTACCACGGCGATGCCCACGAAGATGGTGATGCGGTGGGAATTCACCTCGAGCAAGGACAAAGCCCTGTCCCTTTCATCTAATTTTTCAAGTGCCACCTTGAAGTTCGCGCTTGTCCTCGCCAATGTCGCCACCGCCGTCATCGCAAGGCTGTGCTTCAAGTCGGAATGATCATGATTGTCGAAAATAGTCTTAAAAGTACTCCCTCTTTCCAAGTACTAGTATAACTAGTAGAGCCAGTTCATCTGAAATGGATAAATGATGACGACGTACCAACAAGTGTCATGTATCAAAACCTGCGGCTATGAATTACTTTTATGACACGATAACTGAGTGAGCTCATGTCGGTGTAGGACCACGTTTAAAGTTGCTAAACTTTGATATATCATAGAACATCATTCCAAGCGCTTCAGGAGACGGGTAGTGTTTGTTGTGTTGCTCCGAAGTGCCAAAATACCTTTCTCACTTGATACACGACAAATTTCGACATCAAATGCGTACTCCTTGAGTAACAAATCTACCTGTCATATCGAAAAAATACTTTCCAAAAATGTATTCAAAGTTCAATATACTCATAAAATGAATCAGTATCGAACTTGTCGATATCATCGATGCCATTTGCAGTTCTTCAAACGCATTGCACAGCACGGCTTCGCTCAACACCAGAGCCGATTCCACCTCGGCGGACGCGGTGTGGACACGTTCGTCCTCAACCCTGAGAAGGACACGAGCGGACACAACAACGTCGACGGGACACAGCGGTACTTCGGGCTATGAGTTTTGGCCCTCCATCTGGTGCTTCTTCGAATGGGGGCTCGGAAGTCGTTGTCGCCACCACATTTGAGGATTTCGACCAACACGAACTACAGGGTGCGAGTGTTGGCAAGCAGTGTCGTCCAATGCACGTCACTCCACGCAGCAAGCACGTTGGTGACAATGTCGTCCAATGATCGTGCACGTCGTTTTACTTGGTTGGATTGTAGGGCACGAAAAAATCCAACATGCAGCACGTTGGTGTCAGGCGAGTTGGCGATTTGCCAGACGATTGAGATGGCAAATCCGTCCGACGAACCAGCAAGTCGAATGCCTCCATCGTCTGGTCCGTGTGGGCGTGCGTTGTCTTGTTGGAGTTATATTCCTCTAGGTAACGAAGGGGCCAGTTTGTCTTGATGCCGCTATTACCTTTCCTGTGATCACACTCTCTTGTATACATTACGGATCACTACAAGAGGTGTGATGGTCGGTGTTCCTTCGGCACGACTCTTGCTATTTCTGGCAGTGGGAAGGACAAGCGTCAATGGCCAGCAGTCAATCTTGCCGTCCTACCAGGAACTCGTGGCATGATCTCAGCAACGGCGCATCGGAACATGACCTATGTAGTTGGTGGGCGTTATTGTGTTAATGTGTCTATCTTGAGGATAAAGTTCTAGTCTTTATCCGGTCTCGACGGATTCTTCAAAGAGTCCGTATAATACACTTTGGTACTGCCGCAGACACTTACTAACATCACCAGGCAGATGTACAGTGAGTTGGACGCGAATTGCGTCAACCTGTTCAACGCAATGTCGCTTGGCGTCTCCCTTTTCAATGCCATCTACAAGGAGAATGTCCCTGAAATTCGTGAATGGACACAATAGCTCATTAAATGGACGGGCTTGAACCCAACCCACCCGCAACTACCCCATGCTTCACACTCATGGTACGGACTTAGCGTGGCGATGCGCTTATCTCTGGCTTGGCAGCTCGCCTGTTCAAGAGTTGGGCAATATTCGAGTGTGATTGTGAGGTATCTTGATCCTTTTTCGGTGATTTCACTGCCGGGTAGTAGCCAAGACTGGTTTATAATATTGATGAGCCCCCTGAGCTTGTTTGCTGTAATCATAGAAGCCAGGGGTTCCCAATTCAACGACCTGCTCGAGATGGGTGAGCTCATGCTGATATTTTCAATATATTTAACAACATATTTTTACGCAGAACACTGGAAGCATGTAAATATGATCCTGCAATGGCATAATCTACTTCAAACGTACGAAACGTGCAAACCGAATCTGTTTCATTGTTTCAACTGCACAGGAAAAAGTAAGATACTGTTTGGGGAGTTGAATCCGCGACACGAGATCTAAATTTATACTCCCAAACCTTTCCACCGACAAGTTTGACAGTCCTAAGGATCGCTCCATACGCTTGCACCCATGCACACATCATTGGAGCACTTCAAGTGCTTCTAAAGTGCGGGTGGCGGCAGAATTTTTGCTGTCTCTACTGTCGATAATTGCATCGTGAAATGTCTACAATACTATTGTAAAATTTGATGGCTGATTTACATTCTGTACAATGGGTGTATTTACTTTTAACCCTATATATCTATCAACAAATTGGCTTCACCGCTGTGCAGTATATAGCAAAAAATATGGGGAAATCACCTGAAAGGTCGCCTCGCGGTCACAGAATTGATTGATAAGTGCGTGGAACATTCTATCCAGAAACAGCGATTGTTGGGGTGTTGGTCAAGCCGAGGAAAGATCGCTTGGAATCGGACGCGTTGGTCGTCCAGAATAGACAAAAGTTGCGTGATGTAAGGCGGTGTTCACGTACCTGAGACGAATTCGCCGCTCAGTGTCCCTACAGCACCACTACAAATGAACATTAGAACCCATGCTCAATACTGCGTGTTACTTGCGGTTAGTGTCTGACTCATGCAGTTTGTGGATCCAAAGTGCATCTGCGATACTTTTCTCGTTATCGAAATTCTTCCCAACCCTTGGTAGCTTGCCCCCAATCCAACCACACTAGACAGCGATGGATTTGCCATCTCAATCGTCTGCCAAATCGCCAACTCGCCTGACACCAACGTGCTGGATGTTGGATTTTTTCGTGCCCTACAATCCGACCAAGTAAAACGACGTGCACGATCATTGGACGACATTGTCACCAACGTACTTGCCGCGTGGAGTGACGTGCATTGGACGACGCTGCTTGCCAACACTCGCACCCTGTAGTTCGTGTTGGTCGAAATCCTCAAATGTGGTGGCGACAACGACTTCCGAGCCCCCATTCGAAGAAGCACCAGATGGAGGGTCAAAACTCACAGCCCGAAGTACCGCTGTGTCCCGTCGACGTTGTTGTGTCCGCTCGTGTCCTTCTCAGGGTTGAGGACGAACGTGTCCACACCGCGTCCGCCGAGGTGGAATCGGCTCTGGTGTTG